GAAGCCCTGTTTGGTTGTCCACTCTCTTAGCAGGGATCTCTCCTTAAGACCAGCTATTTTGCGCGCGGGAGGGTGGGGGGGGCTAGACAAGGCCGATCCTGCTAGCTACACAAACCAGTAAGTATCCTGTCCGCTTCTCTTTTCCTAATCCACCCCACCAAGGTCAGGCTTTGAAAACTCCCCTCGGTCGCCTAAGCCTCTCTCCCCGCCCCCGAAGTACTAGGCCGGGAAGCCGCCGCCCCCCACAAATTCGGTCCGAGAAAGGCAGCGGGGAAAGGGGAGCCACCTTCTCAGCGGGGCGGGTTCGGCTGCGACGGGCCGAGAGGGCGGCAAGAGGCCCATTCAAAAGCCGGAGGAGTCTAATCTCAAGGCGGAGGGCGGACCCAGGGCGCCGAGATACGACAAGGCCGGCTTCCCGGCAACGCTGGGCCGAAGGAAAAGCCGGAGGAGCCGGGATTCTCACGACCCCCGGGGCGAGCGTCAAAACCCCGGGCGCACTGCGCCTGCGCAGACGCCGCGCGACCCCTCCCCTCCCTGAGGAGAAAACGGCCTTTTTACCTCAGCGGCGCCCGGAAAATAAGGGGACGCCGGCGCTGAGGCCTACTCACCCCGGCGGCTTCGCCTCGAACTCTGCGGCCGCTCTTCCTCCTCCTTCTCCTTCTCCTGACCCCCGCGCGGCGGCTCCGAGTTATAATTCGCGGCCGACGATGGCGAAGGCCCACCGGCTTCCTCCTCCACACAGTCCTCGGTAATGGGGCGACGCCATCTTGTCTCTCCGTCCCAGCCCCGCCCCGCTCCGCCTCTTCCGCCTCTACCTCCAACGATGCCGCCCTGCGTCACCTCCTCGGTCACCCGACGCGGAAGGAGGCGGCCAATGAGAGGCGGGGGGAGAGGGGCGTGTTCTTCGCTCGCTCGCAGGGGAGGATGGGAAGTGTGGTCCAAACCTTTTGACCCGGCCCTGAGGGAAGCGCCTTTAGGGTTTTTTCTATTTTTTTATTCCAGTAAAAAACTGGTTGGGTTTTGGGATTTTAAAAAAAAAAGATTATATTAGTATATAGGCAGTCCTCGACTTATAATCATTCGTTTAGGGACCACTCAAAGTGATATCAGTGGAAAAGTGACTTTTTCACACTTAAAGTTGCAGCATCCCCAAATTTTCATCGTGGGATTGTGGGGAATGCCGCAACGGCCGTTAAGTGTGAAAAACGGTCGTCAGTTTTTTTTCCAATGCTGTTCAGCAGCCACTAAGGGAACCGTTGTAAGTTCGAGGACTGCCTGTATTTGGGGATCACCTGGTCACCTCTCCCATTTGGAGGATTGCAACATGATCTACACGGAACTACAATTTGCAGGGTCCAATCTGAGTAGCATCACACATTGCAATGAACAAAAAGACCCTAACCGTCACTAAGTGAATGGTTGTAAATTGAGGACTACCCAGTGTTGGGCTTCAAATTGTTTAACAAGGGGCTCTCTGCCCTAATGACTGACTGGGTGGGTGTGGTTAGGTAGTCATGTGACTGGGTGGGTGTGGCCAACTCATGGTGTATGGTCTCCTGCTTGGGGTTTGACTAGATGACCTACAAGATCCATTCCAGCTCTGATTATCTGCTATCTGGATGTTGCTTCTTTGCCCTAATTACCTAAACACACACACACACACACACACACACCAAAAAGTTGTTTATTATTTCGTGCATTTAACACTTAAATAAAAGACTGGGTGAAACCAGGCTTAATAGGAGTAACTGTGAGAGGGATCTTGGAGTCTTAGTGGAGTTTCTGGTGAATTATGTGATTCTTATTATTTGGGAATTAATCCCCTCAGAGGCAATGTTACCTGGTTTTCTCAATGGCTCTCCCTCACAAGCGCTGAGTGGATTGTTTATCTAGCTTGCCACACTTTTACCAGGTGTGAAGTGCTCTTGGCTGAACACCCAGAAGTTCAATTAAGCCTATTAAGAGCTTTCCCTCACTGCTTGTCTCTCTGAGGTTATTGGGGGCTCTCGGAGCCCCTGCCAGGCCCCAGCAGCCCACCCCTGGGACTACCTGTAATGGACTCAGGAGGATGGAGCTTGGGTTTGGCACCCTACCTGAGGCCCAAAGCCAGCTGGGTAAACTTTGTGTCAGTCCTTTTCTTTCAGCCATGGAAGAAGAAAATAAAACCCTTCTGACAACCTGCCAAGAAAACTGCAGGGGTTTGCTCAGAAAATTGCTAGGACGTGAAGGCGCGCAACAAATAAAGCCGTTGGCCAGGATGAAGTGTGGAAGTTTCTAATCCTCTTAAATTTAAAAAGGAAATGAAAAAACCAAAACAGTTCCTCACCAACAATCAACACCCAGATAATCAGGAATTAACATCAGGATTACCAACAATCAAGCATTTAATGATACCCCAATGAAGGAACAACGTACTCTGACAAACAATCAAGCATTAAATAACAACATGAAAGCACAATGAACACTCCCATCAACACTGACAAGCCATTTGTATACAAATTCCTGAAAACTAGGTGGCTCATGTCATCATCCAAAGGCTAGGAGGTCTCTCTCTCTTAATGAGATACATCTCCCCATGCATAGAAATGGAGAGCTAGCATTCTGCAGCATGTCTGCAATAATCTTGAATTTATCCCCCGGGTTTCAGTCCCTTTCTCCTGCTGGTGGGATCTACTGACAAATGAGCATCAGATCCAGATCATCTGAAAAAAATTCAAATAATCAGAGAATAAATTTCACTCCCTTCTAGCACTGATGATGTTACTTAGTTGGGTCATGAAATGGCTGCAAGAAAACAACAAAGATTAGAGAGCACTAAGGTCCCCACAGTCCTCCTCCTCTCCATAACCCCAGTCTCTTCTAGCACTGATGATGTTCCCTAGCTGGGTCATGAAATGCCTGCAAGAAAACAACCAAGCTCCAAGAGCATCAAGGGCTCCACACCTTTTCATCGACTTCATCAATTAATCTTCCAGGAACTACTTAAAGCAGTTATTCTGGATGGCCTAAGTCAGGTGTTGTGTGCTTTAAATTTTAACTGAACTTCATTTGAATGTAGTTTACCACAGCCACCTCATTGCCTTATAAGTATAAGGAAGTACCTTGAGTTTCAGGTTGCGGCACTCCATAAATTCAGCAAACAAATAAAAGAGTAACAGGCAGATATGAATTTAATATTTCCATGTGGCCCAAAACATCCCTTCCAAATTCAACCTAATAGTTTCAGAAATAATATAATTTGCTGCTACTTAAACTATGCTTTTGGAAATAATTTTTTTCAAGTAGTAACCTACGTTTTTTTTCTTCTTCTAATTAGCTCGCTGGAAAATAGGTCCCAGTCAACCTGAACTTGCTGGCTCTTTTCCATGACATGTTTACCATGATTAATCTGATAATAATTTGGTCAAATTTTTCTGGGATTGCAAAACGCTGCAGAATTAATCAGACAGCGCACATTACCAGCAGGCACCAAACTAAAATGTAGTTGGTTATTTTGTTTAGAATGCTGTATAAACACGGTAAGTTCCTTCTTTTGTATTAACAAGCAATGGCTTTTGTAATATTTTGCTTGTTCCTGATTAGAACAGTTTGTCTGCTTCTTTCTAATATCCCTTTGACCATAAAATTCTCTGCTTTAGTAGAATAATTATGGATGCTGGGCAGATTTATTTCAATCCTGAATTAAATTAATAATAATTTATTCAACCCTGGATACTCCAAACTTCCAAGTCCAGGAGACGGGATAGGGTAGGATAGGATAAAATAAAATAAATAAGATAAGAAAAGTTTTATGGTCACTTTCTCTACTGTATGTAAACACTAGGACACATTAAAAATTAAATTCTGATTCCCACTCTCAAAAGAATTTATAATATATATTATAAATGTATAATATATATAAAATACATTTATTAAAAATATATAAATGTATTGTGGGACAATTTTCTCAGTGGTTTCATGCCCTTTCTGGTTATTATTTTTAAATATTTGCTTAATGAAAAACAAATAAATGATAAAAAGTCAGCTGGGAAATCAGATGTACTTAACAACCGTGTTACTAATTTAACTGCAGTAATTCATTTAAGAAATGTACCAAGAAAAGTTGTCAAATGGGGTAAAACTCGCCAAATTTCTCACTTAGCAACACAAATTTTGGGCTCAGTTGTGGTCATAGGCTGAAGACTACCTCTACTTTTCCAGCCTTTTGAAAGACCAGACGATTGTCTATATGGAGATTCTCAGTCATGCAGGCCAAACTGTCCCAAAAGTGCTTCTTCAGGAGGCAACTGGACTTTCTAGTTTTTTCTTTTGAAGATGTTTCACTTCTCTTCCGAGAAGCTTCTTCATCTCTGACTGGATGGTGGGGAATGGAAGGATTTATACTCCTTGCAGACCGCTGGTCATTTGCATCCTTTTTAGAGGGTCATTGAGGCCACCTGGAGGTTTGTCTGGGTCCTCAGGGTCACCTGAGTAGTGCAACAGCCTGCTCATGGACTATGAATGCTAACATGCTTGTAAAGAAGGCACAGAAGAGGCTGTACTTCTTGAGAATGCTCAGGAAGATAAATCTATCTCAGCATCTACTTCTGCCCTACTACCGCAGCACTACTGAGAGTGTCCTGACATGCGGCATCCTTGCATGGTAGGGGAGCAGCTCTGTAGCGGACAAAAAAGGCTCTACAGAGAATCATTAAAACTGCCCAGAAGATCATCGGGCTCCAGCTACCAGCCTCGGATGACATCTTTGCATCGCGCTGTTTAAGGAAGTTGCACAACATTCTCAGAGACTCTTCCCATCCTGCTCACAATCTTTGTGGACTGTTGTCTTCTGGCAGAAGATACAGAGCCATTCAAACTCGGACCACACGAGTTTTCTGAATTTTTTTTTTATCTGAGAGTTATAATGGCACTTAACAATGAACTTAAAGACCACCACCAGTGAGCTGTTGGACGGTATTATTGGTCTGTTGTGTGGATGCTTGTGTATTTTTAGGGGGTGGGGAATTTTGGCAGGTGGGGAGGTGTTTTGGGATTGTCATGTGCGTGTGCATGTTGAGTCTGGTCTCTGGGTGTTATGTGAATTTCGTTGTATGTATACTGTGTATATACGTACAATGACAATAAAGAATAAAGAATTCAATTCAAGATGATAATACCAGCAGACAAAAGTTTTCATGACTGCTGTTGGGAACAGAGTCCAAAATAATGATAATTAAAAAAAACAGAAGGCACTCAAAATGCTGGACTTCCAACCATTCAGTTAGTGACAGGTCAAAGTTAGCACTGAAAAAAGTGACTTATGACCGTTTTTCACACTTACCACCATTGCAGCGTCCCTGTCATGCCCCTGATGAAGACTGACTCAGAGGGAGAGGAGGAACAGCTGACAGGGAGTAGAAGTGTGGCTCCGGAGGTTGTGGAGGAGGCTGGGGAAGGGCAGAGGCTGGCTGGGCAGTCAGAGGAGGACCCAGGCCCATCCCCTCTCCATCCCAGGGCACACAGGGAGGAGAGGATAAGGGAGAGACATGGTCTACTCAGGAGGGGAGGGCCTTGATCCTCTTCATGGGCTGCACCTGTGACAACTGGTTAATAGGATGGACATGCGTATAGGCAAGCGCTGGAAACAAAGCATGGAAATATCTTTAGTTTATTGTTCCTTTCTGAGTTTGGAACTTACCCAGGGTGTGTTATCTGTGGACATCCTCCAGCCCTTATCTTGGCTGGTTTGTGTTGCTTTTTCCCTTCTTCTTGTAACCGTTTGTGTGGGAGCTTTTTGGTTTCCGTCAAGA